GTAATCTTTTCCAGGATGAAAATGGTGACTTCAGACTGGTGGTTTCAGACAGAATGCAACCTCGATACCTGAAGAGAGGGAAAAATCCTGTGTTGTTTCCTCAATTTAAAAGTACATCCCATTTACACCATTAATAATGCCTCAATGAAAAGTTAGTCTCCCTTTGTACCTCAGGTGCTCTACATCTCATTTATGAAATTCCCATCTCTCTTTACTTAACCAACCCAAATCCTTTCCACAGAATCATTGGGGTTGGAAGGAACCTCTGAAGATCATCTAGTCCAACCCCCCCTGCCAGAGCAGGATCACCCAGAGCACATCACACAGGAACGCATCCTGGTGGGTTTTGAATGTCTCCAGCGAAGGGTACCCCACAACCTCTCTGGGCAGCCTGTTCCAGTGCACTGTTACTCTCACAGTAAAGAGATTTTTTCTGATATTTACATGGAACCTCCTATGTTCCAATTTGCACCCATTGCCCCTTGTCCTATCACTGGACACTACTGAAAAAAGCCTGGCTCTGTCCTCCTGACACTCACCCTTAACGTATTTGTAAACATTGATGAGGTCACCCTGCAGTCTCCTCCAAGCTCAAGAGACCCAGCTCCCTCAGCCTTTCCTCACAAGGGAGATGTTCCACTCCCTTAATCATCTTTGTGGCTCTGTGCTGGACTCCCTCAAGCAGTTCCCTGTCTTTCTTGAACTGAGGGGTCCAGAATTACTGGCCACAGTATCCCAAATGTGGCCTCACCAAGGCAGAATAGAGGGGGAGGAGAACCTTCCTTGGCCTACTAACCATGCCCTTTCTAATACACCCCAGGATGCCATTGGCCTTCTTGGCCACAAGGGCACATTGCTGGCTCATGGTCATCCTCCTGTCCACCAGGACCCCCAGGTGCCTTTCTCCTACACTGCTCTCCAGCAGGACAGTCCCCAACCTGTACTGGTACATGGGGTTGTTCTTCCCCAGGTGCAAGACTCTACACTTGTCCTTGTTGAATTTCATCAAGTTTCTCCCCACCCAACTCTCCAGCCTGTCCAGGTCTCGCTGAATGGCAGCACAGCCTTCTGGTGTGTCAGCCACTCCTCCCAGTTTAGTGTCATCAGCAAACCTGCTGAGGACACACTCTGTTCCCTCATCCAGGTCTGAAAACCAAAATACATTTCCATCGTTGACAGACTTTTGTTGTTAAAGAGAACTCAACACAGTTTTCAGAGAAGAATAATCAAAATACTTATTACCTTTGTACTCTTCTGTGTCTTTCCAGAACATTTCAGAAAAAAAGGCTAAGCTTAAAAGAAGTATTGCTTGCACTCCAATCCAGTGTACAGCACTTTAAGGTTCCAAGAATTGGACTAAGGAAGACTGTCAAACTTTGTCACTTACAACTAGTTTATTATGGGAACAGGCATGAAGAGTTAAGCTAACTTAAGACTAACTTATCCCTTGACCCTAAAGCTCCTAAAGTATCCATACTCAAATAAAAGAGAACACCACCTCCCCTCCCCTAAGGACCTAAAAAGTCTCCTATAGTAAAAGATACTGTATGACCCTATACTGTCACTCAAAACCTCTGTTGGATGCAGACCATGGGAGTAGAAAAACTCTGAGACTAGAACCATGCCTGCCGTGACAAATATACTGCAGCTGGAAGAGATGACTGAGAATAATAAACTAAACTAAAGTATTTTAAAAATCCAAACACTCCATCCAGCTACTGACCTCCACATGCCAAAACCTTTTACACCTTTGCTCAGTTTATATAGACTGCAATTGTGTCCTCAGCATCCCAGGCCTCATAGGTCTCCCTCACACACACACACACAATATCCAATAAACATTTACCAGGCCAGTGCCTCAAAACTCAAGATAACTACCCAGCAAAACAGAAGTTTTAACTCTCAGATATTACTCCCAGGTCTGAAAACAGAGAACATGAATTTTAGTCTTCAAGTTTCTGCTCTTCCTGAATACTACACAAATCTTACTACCAAACACCATCTCATACCTGTCCTCTAGCAGCAAACATGAATCTCCGTATTAGAGAACATCTCAAGATCTGAAACACTGCATAAGATCCAGATATAAAACTCATGCTTCCTAAAAAAGTGATACTTAGCAGCCTTTGAGAATCAATGTTAACAGTACCCAATTGTATACATGTGAAGATGAAATCACTTCCACACACTTGTGAACAAAACATGCTATAATCCCCCAAACAACTTCAAATAAATACAAAGGAACATCAGCAAACACATGATCCAAGGGTTAGTGGATCAGTATTTACTCATTCAAACCTAATCTTAAAAATCAAATGTGGATCTAAAATATATAGTTGGAAATTTTGCAGTAAAAGTTACATTAAAAAAAACTACTTTAGCAATGGAATAGACACAATGAAAAACACATTAGAGAACTGTCAGAACTGAAGCTTCCTTTGCTAACTGCTGAATAGCCTACATGACGAATGAACTGAGTTCTCTTTATACATCCACAACAGCAATGAAAATACTGGCTTAGTAATCTGTGATTTTCTTCTCAAATATTTAATCCATTTTGTTTGCTCACCCTTGTGACTTCATTAAAATGACTGCAATGCATGCTCTGTTTCGAGCTGCATATGACAACTGTATGAAATCTTCAACTGCCAGAAATATCTGGATATTGGCTGTAACCATCCTACTCACTGTATGACTTTCAGCTCCCAGTAAAAAACTTATGTTTATTCTGAATGCCATTCCTAATGTAGTGAAGGCAATTAGCCAATTACCTTCAGGGCCAAGTCCTTATTTCAAGCAGCTGCTCTCTCTTACAAGGCCACTATTTCGGCAATTTGCAAGCAGCAGAGATACATTTGTTGTGATATTTTAAACAACTACAGCCAGCAAGGCAGTATTTTTAGGCAGCTGTGAAGCAGGTGGTAATGACACAACAACTTGCTTAATACACAGCAGACTGCTGTCGACATTTGCTTTGGGTTTTTTTGGTGGGTTTTTTTTTCCCAAACATTGTTAAGTGCTCAGCTCCAGTGACAGACACAATACAAAAGGGCCATATTCATTACAAATGTAATATACTAAAAACTTAATGTGAAAAGAAAAGGTGAAACACAAAATCAAATAACTATATTCCAGAACTACTAAATATTTCGAAGTGAAGCCAACTAAATAAAAATTAAAACATGTCAAAAACTATCTGGCATAATCTTGTAATGAATAAAATGACCAGAATTCAGAAAGTCTATGTAAGGTTTTAACTGCATCTGTGAATCTACTTGGGACCTGCACAGAATTGTTTCAATTCTGGGTAACAGAAAGCTTTTGAGAAAACAGGTAAGAATGAGCAAGAAATACAGTGAAGGAATAGGCAGGATTAGCCATTTCATGCTCAATTTCATTCAGTTTAAACATGTACTGCTAGCACAAGTCTTACTTCCTATATCCTATACCAAACTTCTTGCATAGAGTTACTTGACAAACTAGTCTGAGGAACTAATCCAAATATAAGTTAGCTCTTTTTTTGGTGGTGGAAGTTGGGCTTTAACTAATGACATCAGTTCCCTGACGTGGCTTACCATATTGCCTCACAAAAACTTCTAACAGCACAGGAAACAGGCGGTGTGGAAAACAGAATGAATTGCTAAGTTCTGCCAACTCTCTCTGTGTGAAGTCACTTCTAAAGCTATGAATAGCTTTAGGATTTTTTTAGCTCCTCTATTAGGAAAAAGTAAGATTGTGAATTTGCATGGTAACCAAACATGGTTTTATAATGCATGCTCATATCCTACTGTAAACTAACACTACCACTTATCACAAACTACTGTGAGAGGAAGACCTATCGTGGTCTAGATCTAGTTTGTAACTTACTTCATACTATTTTGCTTATATAGCCTTTTTCCTAGGAAAGACAGCAAGTCATGTTTCAAGGTGAAAAAGCTTGTTCCTCCATTTGCCACAGTAGGCACACACTCGTTGATTCTGAGAATACAATTGCCACTTTTAAAATGTTCGCATACATTGTTAGAAAAAGGAATATAAACTGGATATTATGATCACTGTTACAACAACACCTTTTAAAATATTTCTTAAAAATATCTATCACTCGGGATTTGTATTTGCAAATTCATATACAGTTTTTTTTTACTGAAGCACTTTTTATTCCAAGACAACTCTTAATGTTACATCCCCCTCTACTGGAAATATTTAGTAGACATTGTTACACAGTAGTCTGGAAAAAAGATTCTTCTCTTAAAAAAAGGAAACAACATGGAAAAAAATTATATAAAAGACAGTTCATAACATCCCTGTGATTCATTTATATGTCTGTCATGTGTACTTCAGCAAACATGTTTCAAAGAAGAGTAAGTGCTGCAATATCAAGTGAAACTACTGATACCATTAGTCTTTTGTTATCAGGCAAATCCAGGCTAAGCCTCATTTAGTCATTATTTCATATGTTGTGTTAACAACCTTAGTAACTGGGGCAGCAGGACCTTCAAGTGGGACCCAAAAAACCCCAACAACTTCTGTCAGGTGACACAGAACTCCATTTTAGAATAGTCATTCAAAAATCAGAGCAGCACAGAAAGACACCCACTCACAGGTGGCCAACTGGGACAGGTTTTCATGCTCTGTGTTCCAAAACCTCACCTTGCCACAGTGCAAGGTGCTTGTCTAAGGCTGCAATCAATGAATTCAACTTCTCAAGAGACAAGTATTTATAACCATAATTTCAAAGAACTGAATGAGGTTGATAATTTTTTCATTTGCAATTTTTTTTTGTACCAGGTTTTAAAATGACTAATCATATTTATTTTTCGTTTCCCCTAATAGTTCCAGAACAATACCTATGTCCTCTATAACAAAGCCTCAAGTAAAGAAAAAACCTCAAGGTTCTCTGCAATGCTTCTATTTTCTTTATCCATTAATAAAAGACTTGAATTCCTGCCCCTCTTCTTACTTCAAGAAAGGGGACAGTTAAACTACTGTTCTTATTTCAACTATCTTAGTTTGATACTCACAGGTGTAGGCATGACTATGGCACTCTGGGCAAAAGGCTGGTGATGTGGTGCTTGAACTCCAGGATCAGAATACAACTGGTATTAAAAAATACAAAAAATTAGCAAACCTTTCACATTAATTTAGATTCCTTAAGACTTCAAATCGTGTGCTATGCTTATCTAAACTACTGATTTTTGAAAAACCAAAGTTTTATTATTTAAATCTACATTTTCCCCACTCTGCCAAAGATTGGTAAACTTAGTTTCTCTAGATCAGAGTCAAAAAGCACCTTTCTTGATTGAGGTAGCACAGTTATTGACTACAAAGCCATTTTACTCAACTGTAATTGGAACAGTCCTCAAATGTGTAAATTAGCATATTGAAATATGATTCCCAGCATTATCACACTTAAAAGATATTTACATACAAATAATAGTCTTCCCTTTGATTTTTACACCATCTTCTGAATTTCCACATATTGCTTCCTTTAATACCAACAAATTATGTACCTGTGAACTGAGAGCACGTTACATCCTAATACTCCTTAACTAGCTTTTCTTTGTACTCAGAGAGATTTCAAATTTCTCCGTGCAAGTTTTTTATGAAATAGAAGTGGTAAAATATTAACATTTATAAGATTTATGATTATACAATTCAGAAATTTATGCCTGTTAAAAAAAAGAGAAAAATCCCAACCAAAGTCTTGTATTATTCAAGACCTTTGCACACACAGAAAAAGAATTATTTCAGCAAAATTATGGCTTAGGTAGACTAATCCAGCATTCTAAAGAATCTACTCCCATTTTATTTCAATATTATTTTCAAACAAAACTTTTTCTAACAAAAGAGACAGAAGTCTTTATACTACTGTCTCTATATGTTTAAACTGTATACACTTAATGACTCTCTAAACTATTTCAGAATCAAGCTATCCTCCTAGAAAACTGTAATTTAATACTCTATCTTGAGGATAACTGAAATAATTTAATAGCAGCAGTATGGGTGTGGGGGTAAGTAGTGGGGACAGTTGAATTAAAAGCTCTGAAATGCCTGTGCTTAAACTAAAAGATTATGTTTTTCAATGGCAGATAAACACTTCAATTTTATTCAATATGTTCTATAAAAATACCTCTGGAACTGCAGCTTCCAGTAGGAGAGAAGTTGGTGGTACACATCCACTTTCCTGGGTAATCCCTATTGGCTGATATATTACTTCAGATGGCTGCACATACAAAACTGAAGGTGAAGAGGCAGGTGACTGAAAAACAACACAATTTTCTTAAGGTACATGATTTCTGCACTACAAATACTAAAGCTTATTTCACAGTATTCTTTGCTACATATGAACCAAGATAAAGTTTTAAAGGACAGTATCAAATTAATATTTGATAACCGAAAGAAACTAAGGGGGAAGAGAGTAGGAAGATAAGGTAGTAGGATAAAGCAAATATGCCCTCTAATCACTTCCACACATTTTTCAGATTTTTTTTTAACATTTTGGAAAGTATTGTTGAAGAAACTCTAAACTTGGAAAACTGACACTTGGTCTCAAGGTCAGAGAAAATGTAATAGTTTAACCTCCTCTAGTAAAAATATTACACTAAAAAAACAACAGGTGTTTTTGTTTTAAAGTAAAACTGACAGTACTTCAGCCCCCAAATTTCAAAGCAGCAGACTGACACTTTATTAATAGTGAAACTGGCCATAACTGGACAAAACTCTCTGCTACTGAAGTAACAGGGACACATTGTATCAGTTTGAATTTATGAGACTTAATCCTCCTCTCAGCTGAAAACTTCAGGTTCCCAAAGAGGCACAATTTCCATATTAAGCTGCCCTTCTACCAAGATCACAACACTGATAAAGTCTATCCCCCAAAATACCAAGTCAGCAATTTCCAGTTCTTACTCCTGTTTCAAGGGCCTGGGACTCATTTCACCCATACTTATGTGTCTACATGCCTCTGCCAGCACTACTACAATGAAAACTACAGCATCAGTTCAGGAGCTAGTAAATACTAGTTTCTCTATCTAGCAAAATACGGCAGTTCTCACCTGCTTCTATCAGATAATTTTGTACAAACTTTCGGCCAGAGCAAAAGGGGAAAGTAAAGTGCTTTCCTTACATCAGATTTGTATTTGATGTTTCAATAAATGCTATTTTATACCTTCTATTGTATGAGCACTGAAAACACATTGCTAAAATACAGCAATTAATGTTTATTTCAACAGTGCTGCAAATAGTGAGAAAATCCACTGTTAGAGAAGCATATCATACCTTGAAAAAAGAAACAAACTAATGGTAAAATGCTTTAACTATGAACTGTTACTTACCTGTGGAACAGACCACTGCCACTGACTTTGAAGATACTGTGTTGGTGCCTAAATTCAAACAAAAAAGATACTACTTACATGATTAAGAATATATGCATACACATGCTAGAATTCCCAACATACTAGAATAATATCTTAATTATATATTAAAAAAATGATTTTCATAACTCCCCAAATGATTCAGGAACATAGTTTTGTCTGTCTTCATTCAGCCTCTGACTTAGGCATTTCATAAGCTTCTAAAATACTGAAGCATTTAAGAAGTGTACCTAATTAGGAAAACAGAAGATATAAAATGCAATTAGCTTTCCAACACACATGAAAAACATGGACATACTCCATAAATCCAGTAGTGGGTCACCAAGATGGTTAGGGGAGTAGAAAATCGATGTATCAGGATGCTGAGAGCATCTTGTTTTTTCAACCTTGAGAAGGATACAGGTGGCAGGGAATAATTATTGCTGACTATAGCCACCTGATGGCAGGGTGGGGGCATGAATACAACTGAGCCAGATTCTCAGAGGTGTTCAGAGACCTCGAGTCAACAGACAAATGCTGGAACACTGAAAATTCTAATTAGTTATAAGAAAACAATTATTTTACCATCAGAAGGGTCAAATGTTGGAAGAGGCTGTCTACAAGTGTTGTGGAATCTCTGTCACTGGACATACTTAAAATTCAACTAGACAGGCTCCTGAGAAACCTGTTCTAACCAGCCCTGCTTTATGCAGGGGTTTGGATTAGATGATAAAAGCATAGTACTAAACCAGTTGTCTAGCAACAGAGAAAATTCTTATTATGCTTCTATATAGTTACATGGGCAGAATAAATTGTATTCTAGTGAAAATAAAGCCTTTGATGAAATTAAAAACTTGAGCATATAAGTTCCACCTCAACATGAGGAAGAACTTCTTTACTGTGAGAGTGACAGAGCACTGGAACAGGCTGCCCAGAAAGGTTGTGGAGTCTCCTTCTCTGGAGACTTTCAAGACCTGTCTGGATGCCTGAGTGATCTGCCCTAGTTGGTTTTTTATTTTGGTCCTGATCTGGCAGAGGGGTTGGACTCCATGATCTTCAGAGGTCCCTTCCAACACCTAGTATTCTGTGATTAATATGACTACTTGGAACAGTCTTTTTATTTCTTAAGAATAAGAGCTGAGACAGTGATGGAAATAAAACTGCATGACTGGAAGGAATACTGATGGCCTGAATCCCCTTTTCAAACACATACCTGATAATGGTATGTAGGAGACTGACAAACCGGTTGAGCTACCATCACAGGTGAACTGGAAACAGAGCACAACTTGAAAAGAAAAAAGTTACAACTCTTAATGTGCTAATTTCATAAATTGTCGCTCCTATTAAGAAAAGTTTTGAAGTACTATAAAGATTAAACACCTCCCCTCCCTTTTAAAAATGGATTCACCAAGTTTTAACTTACACTTAGATTCTCCAAACCCACTGTTTCTAAGGGCCTATGATAGAGATGGAACAAAAATCTGCCATATTTACTTGGTCCTTTCCAGAATGCAGTAGGCCATTACTATCTAGATGCTAAGGCCAGCCACTATCCTGACTGTAGGTACATTTTTGTAAACACTCAGGGCAATCTAAGTTGTCACTGGTGTATTCCTACCCTCTCCACAGCCCCTGGCCCATCTTCCCTTTTCTATCACTTCACTCATACCAGCCCCAGCATTCATCTGATTCGGCAGTGAGCTAGTTAAGGGAGCTAAACCAGTCAGAACACAGACTGGGTTTTGTGGAGACTCAGTCTAGGGTGAACCTCTAGTTCTGATCATTTAAAGCTTGTGTGTGCAACACTCACGTCATTGAAATTGCCTCATTCCTGCAAATATCTTGGAAGAAACAATCCAAAACTAATTCGTTCCACTCTATATGAAAATGCAGAATGCAAAATTAAAATAAACAACCCAACCTGCACTGTTAAACAGGCACAATAAACACCAAAAACTATTAAAATCTTTATTTTGATTCATGTTTTCTTTAACATCAGATGTTCCAGTTTTCCTTAATTTCTTAATATAGGAACTTTCCTAACAATAAAAATTAAGAATACATAAATAATTTAAATCAAAAGAGGCAGCACTATTTGTAATTAGAAAGGTGGAGTGCTGCATGTTCAAAACAGTGCATCTGAGCCAGGGCACTAGCAACAAAGTTCAGCAGTAGAACACAAAAAATTCTGTTTTTTCCAAGAGGCAGGATTTGAGCAAGTTCTCTAGAACTAGAGAGCATGAACTGCAAAAAGGCTTTCTAAGTTACAGGAAGGTGTTCATGCTTATCCGCTAAAGCTGAGGAAGCACTATGAGACACTTATATCACGACTCTGTTAGAAAAGCAACATAGATCTTAGAAGTTGAGAGACATGAGTAAAACAGAAGTAAAAATACCAAGAAAAAAAATCTACAGTGCCAAAATAAACACCATACAAGAATATATTACTGCTCTCATCTCTGTTTTGGGAAAGTTTCTTTTGACTTAGTAGTGATTGTTCTACTCAGTTTTTCTTCTACATGTGAAGGGAATTTCCACTCATTTGTAGGTTAGGTATGTACAGCCACTGTGAATGCTGCTTTTACAGGAATCCCTAAGGATGTATCCCCTATGTAGGTCCTGCACCTTATGCAGACCCTATCCATCTTGTTATTCTTCCTTCTAAAAAACCTGAAGTGACTAACAACTCCTTCCCATGCTTCCCACAAAATTCTGTCCAAGCTCCCCAAGCCTACTAAAGCCAAGCAATTAATAATCTATTATCTTCCTCCTAAAACAAGCAGAATTCTTGAAAAAAAAAAAGGTTATGTGAATGACTATAAAACTACCCAATTTCACTACTGCTTTGTTGATCTGTTATATTCTCTCTTCAGCTTCAGCATAATAGTTTACAGCCAAAACCAGATCATTCACGGAAGAATAAATGGAGCCAAACTTCTGGGGCAAGACCCACACTGATACTGTGGCATATCCAAAGCAGGAGGGATTTGGAAACTGTACTGATCCTAGTCCGTATAAAAGCATATATACAAAAATAAATTTCTTACTGGCCATGGCTGCGGAACAGAAGGAACTTCAGGCATAGGAAAATAAGCCACTCCATTATGATAAATATAAGGACATCCACTTGAAGTAGTTAAGTATGTTGTACCAGCTTCTGGTATTACAGTAGAACCTGGAATTAATATTTTCAAGTTTACTTGCCAGTCTTTTTATATGTGTAAGTCATAAAAAGTAAAAGAACACTTCTGATCTTCAGAGAAGCAAAATACTTAAAGGAAAGAACATGGGGCAGTGTATCTAGTATCATGTCAATTCCCTCTCAAACACAGAATCGTGAAAGCAGATGGTCACAGGATGTCTTCAGAAGTATATCGGAAGGGATACAGATGATGGCATGCACATAAATGACTAAACACCGGTAACTCAAGTTACCAGCAAATACCTATATATTTTAGTCTTCAAATGCCAAAGGCACCTTCACATTGTAGGAAATTTTCATTGGTAACCCCCACATACTCATTTAGCTGAAACAGAATCCAAGCACTAAGAACAACAGAATTATTTCATTACAAGGCACAGTCTGGTTTCTCAAAACACAAAGATTACATTTCTGTAATGGGATATTGCCTGACTCACTCCCGGAGCAAGCCCAGAGGAGGGCCACTAGGACAATCAGAGGGCTGGAACACTTCTCCTATGAAAACAGTCAGTCTGAGAGAAGTGGGGTTATTCAGCCTGCAGAAGAGACAGCTCTAAGGAGACCTTATAGCAGCCTTTCAGTATCTGAAGTGGGCCTACAAGAAAGACGGGAAAGGGCTTTTCACCAGGGTGCAGAGGAGTATGACGAGGGGTAGTAGTTTTAAGGTATAAGAGGGTAGATTTAGGTTAGACATAAGGAAGAAATTATTTAGTGTAAGAGTGCTGAGACATTGGAAGACTGCCAAGGGAGGCTGTGGATGCCCCATCCCTGGAAGTATTCAAGGCTGGGTTGGATGGGGCTTTGAGCAACCTGGTGTAGTGGAAGGTGTCCCTGCCCATGCAGGGGGTTGGAACCTGATTATCGTGTAGGTCCCTTCCAATCCTAGCAATTAAAAAAAAACAACACGACAAACAAAGGAGAAACTGGTTATCTAGATGTTAGCAACTGGGACACTTCTCAGCAATGCTTCTGTTATGGTGAAGGCTATACATGAGCATGGTCTGACCCCAAAGCAGAGTTCCACCTACACAGCCCTCTAACAGGTCCTGACAGCAGCATTACTCAAATACATGGTTATCTTCCAAACACTGTTTTTAAAGACCACTTAAGCTCTATTTCTGTTTGCATTCTGGGGGAGGTGGGACAGGACTTAATGTTCCCTTACACTCTTTTCTCAAACATTAAGACAAGTTCTCATTCCAAATATAAAAATACTTCCATGAAAAAAATAAAAAGGAAAACGAATTCTGCCACTGAAATCTTGAAATCACATCAAGTATTAACGTTGCATGGAAAGAACCCAGAAAGAACAAAACAAACAAGATCAGTGAACAAATTTTAGTTTTTCATCTCTCTTGCAAAGGGAAGGGCCACAAAGAAGTGTCATCTTACAGACAGGTAAAACACTGAAGAGGTTACTAGAATGCTAAATGGAGGATGAAGAAGGATCCCACAATGATTCAAGAGCTTTTATCAATGTTAAGAATTTGATTAACTTCCAGAAAAGCCTGAAGACACGTGGATACAAAAAAATCCATAATACTGTCCATAGACAGGTCAGGTTTAGACAGTTGAAGATAGTGTTTAAGAGACCTTAGAAAAAGCAAAGGCTACTTTAGCTACAGCAAGCAGTCTAGAATAACAATTTCTGCTATCTCATATGAGATGAACAGTATTCCACAGACAACAATCCTGACCACTTCCTTAACTACCAAGTACATTGCACACAACTTTCTGCTATTGTCGAATGTCTCTTGCAAAGGAAAAGGAAATATTCTCCAAACTCAAACTTACTGTAAGAGAAAAGTAAAACAACCTGGGAGAGGTTGCTCTCTGATATAGCTATCTGATATTCTTCCAGTTCACAACAATTAATCATTCTTCCAGTTTTCAGGTTTGGTTTCTACTTTTCAGCTTTTAGAATGCCTGTTTTCACAATACTTGGTGCTGGCAAAAAGCAAACTGAGCTGTTTGAGCATCCTAAGAGTACATTTGCTCAAGATCAAGAGGTTACCTCACAAAAATACCTTAAAAATACTCCCCTCATGTAAGTGTTCACTCTAAATAGTTTGCCAGAGGAAGAAGATAAAAGCATTCATCCCAATATCTTACAGCAAGGAACTCCTAAAAACCAAATGGTGACTGCAACCACTCATTCTCATGGTTTCTACCAAAGAAAGCAAGATAAGTCCTGACAGATTGTGCCAATATAAATAAATTTTTAACAATCCAATGAACCAGCACAGTCTGCTTTATCCTGTAGAATCTTAGAGGACAGCCTAAGTTCTGCCTGGCAGCTGAGAAAAATTTACATTCAGTTTGTTCCTAGATAATCTTTTCCAGGAAAGAAAGCAAACAATGTATTAAGAGATAAAAGAACCAAAGATCATCAATCAATTTATTTGGACATTTCCACTGGCATACATTTATTTATACTGCAAAACATTCTGAGCATATTTCATGCACAGCATTAATGCAATGCATAACCAGGCACATCATGCTTCAAAGCTTACATTCATAATGACACCTGCATAATATACAAAAGTAAATAAAAATACATACGAGGACTCCTTATTTGTTTTCTTATAGCTGGACCAATATTCAATTTCTTATCCTTGTAATCAAGTTTTTCAGTCTAGAATTAAAAGAGACATTCAGCATGTGTAATTTCTACAATAAGCCAACGACAAAGGACTTAATAGGTTTCACCCTCCCCCGCTTTTATTTACAGTGCATCTCAAAAAAACCCCAAACACCACCCAAAAGCAATACTAAATTCCTTTTCTATCCCCTGACCTTAAAATCCACACACAAAATGCATAATTAATATTTTCAAGTATTGCTTACTCCTCATGGACCCTCTTGACTAATCACTGATATGTATAATTGTCAGCAGATTTTTTTAGTTTTACCTTTCTTGTGTATTTACTGCTTTTAAAAAAGCACATGTACATGGACAATTTCAAATAAAAAGATTAAATTTATTTTTCCATCATGACATTATTTTACAAAATACGAAAGCAACAATCAAGTCTATGAAAATAAACAGTATAAGGACTGAATGTAAAACATTCCCATACTCAAATCTGTCTTAGAATTTCGTTATATCCAGATTAAGAAAAAACCATACTAAAACAGCCTAGTACGGCTAAACTATGACAGAACATTTTTTTAATTAGAAAGTGCTAGGTATAGACAAGTAAAGCTACATTCTCTTTCAACTGCTCTACAGAAAGTGAGCATCAGGTCCATCAGGTAAATAAAAACCTCACTCCTGTTTTTAAACTGAAACTGAACTTTGTTAATGTAATGGAAAGGAATAGGGTAAATCAGCGTGGTTTTTCTCCAGTTGCCAGCATCTCTTTAATGCTGTTTCACAAAACATAAAAGGATTCTGCACGCCTACTTCCCCAAACAGTAACCTAAGAGAGAATGTGCCCCAAACAGTGCCACATTACACCACAGTTATCAATTTTTGGAACTGTTAACTTCTCCAGTGAGGAGATACTGACTTTTTAAAGAGAAACATAGAAAGAAATACAGTTCTAAATCACATTCAGCTTAACAACAAGTAATGAATACATTTTCTTTATTTGAGCCCAATTCAGCAACATACTTGAACGTGTTTATGTAATGCAAAGTCTCACCTATCAGATTGAAAGTTAGGAAGAGGGTAAACTATTTTGTTGCATCCAGGACTCCATAAACAAGGATGTTTTCCGGCAAACATACCTACCTAGACTATTATACACAGAGCGACTCTTAGAAAACAGAGGCACACTTCAGTCAAACTGCACTCCAACATGGACATCAGGAAGATGATGCTTCCCAATGCGCTGTATTTCACTGATGTGATCCATCAGAATTCAGACTTTTTTTATACACAACTTTCACAGGTAAGAAAAATATCTAATCTGTACAGACTTCTTAAAAGCACTGTATGAAAAATTACAAATGATGCTACAGAAAGTTAAGACTAATAGGAAAAACTGGTGAATGAAACATTTCAGAAAGATGGAAAGAACATCAGTACTCATCACATGTAACTGAAGATTCTGGTCCAATGCCTCAAACCTTGTCCTCAATAATAACACAACTTAATACTTTCAAAGACTGCAAAATAGAATCAGAAATTTCTGGAGACATTACTCATGATAGAAAAGATGCAAAAAAAAAATAATCAGTGCAAAGGATGATCAGAGTATCATATAAATAAAAAATTCAAGTGTACAAAACGAAAAACAATTTCTTAAATAAATTGTTAAAGCCTAGGAACTCTCAGCTAACAATGTCTCAGAAAGACTCAGATGTTACTTGATCTTAAGATGAGTATGAGACCGCAGTATGATGCAAAGATGAAAAAGGTGATACAATTGTAGGACATGTAAATTAAAGTGCTTGTAATAGACAAAAAAGTATTAGTATCATTGAACAACACCAGTAAGACTTCACACAGAGCAGTCTTTCAGTTACAACAGAAGCCAAATTCCACTGTCATTTTCACAGTGGTACTCAGTGCCACTGGTATTCTTCTAGTTCATAGAAAGAAAACAGGAAGAAATGTAGCTGACTCAGGAAGTTCCTGTCAGTATACTCTTTTGGCTCCACATAACCGTATTTTTCTAAAACCTTTTTAGAAATGTCCCAGCTCTTCAATTTTGATGCAGGAATTTCCAGCAAAGGTTCAGTATGTCAACATTTTAAGCAGCTTTACATCTGGGAGATGTAAATTTTCAAATCTTGGATATTATTTTCTGTTTTTTTTTTTTGTTCTTGGTTTTGTTTATTTCCTCCTGCAGTAAAATACCTTCACATCCATTAAAAGCTTTTGAACAACAGATCTCTCCAATACATTCCTATCAGAACATGGAGGGCACATTTAAAAAACAAACAAAAACAAACTGAAGAGCTAACCACATCTCAAGGTGGGTTCTACAAGGAACATCAAGATAGTAATGCAGGTAAGGGGAGAAGTCACAATTACATGACATAAACCAAGCTTCACTGTTTAAGACTTAATCTAATTACTCCTGAAAAGAATACATCAGCTTTGACAGTCAAACATGTCAGAATAAGAGACAGCAGTTATTTTTCCTAACTCACCACTAAGATCTCAATATAAATCTTGTCTTAGATATCTCTAAGCCATCTCCTTTGCCTCTCAGACCAAACTTAAAAGATCTCCAAAAGCAACCTGGCAAACAGAAGAGGCCTAGATAACCACAGCTACTTAGTCCTTAAGTGCCCAATATGAAGTATTTGACTTAAATACAATTATGGGAACTATCACTTACCTCTTGTAAAATCTTCTGTGCATCTTCTACTGTTTCAAAAGTAATGAAGCCGTACCTAAGTAAAAATTAGAGAAGCTAAGCTTCTGAAGTTTTTATTTACATAAACTGCACATTATTAGTTCATATATAACAAATGTGACATTAAAAGGTAAATTAATGGAAAAAAATCAATCATCTTTCTTACTCAGAATAAATCTTTAATTCCTGCACATCTACCAAACAATGAGGTTTTGACCTGAAGCTTTCGCTCATGGATGTCCAAGACAAAACATTTGGGATATTTTTATATTTTTTTTATATTGTATTTCATAGCACAGCTCCCACTTATTTCAACAGTTATAAATCCTCCACATATCCACAGGCACTATGCAGTATATTAGAGCTCTCAGAAAAAGAAGCAATGCAGAGAGAGTGTTTATCTGTGTATTATTCTTGAGATGACTAGCAATAAACAAGAGTTCTGAGGTGATCAGTGATGAAGTTGTCATACTTCCTGACACACTATGTCTCTTCCACTATTCTTTTAACTGCTGCAACAAATTAAACAGGCTTTCTACACAACTCCTGCTGTACCAAAATCCTCAGTTAGTTCACAGAGAAATCTGTGAACTGAACATGGTACTGCCTGTGCAAAAGTACCTGATTCTATAATTAAAGTTTGTATTACAACACATACATACTAAGAAATTGATTTTGAAATCAACTTTCAAATTCCCAAATTTTGACGATTCTTTTAAAAATATTTTTTTAGTTTTGTATTCATTATTTCTTAGGTTCATGGCTCATTTCTCATGGTTAGATTTCAAAGGGTAACAAGGAGGCCCCTGTCATTCCAGCCAGCAGATCAGATTCTGCAATACAACATATCCTCTGGGGGCATTTCTATGCTTATTCTAGTACAGTGGTCCAGTAAGTCTCTGACCAGCTCTACTTTTAAATTTGTGTGCTTTTCCTATATTGTGTCTCTAAACAAATTTAGAAATACTTTCAAGAACACAAACTGTTTTCCTAGCTTGGGATCTTACCTACACAGATTTTCCATTCTATTGGACATGGGCAATAAACTAATAGTCATACTCAACTAGACAAACCTGTAAGTTTCTTATAGCACTTGTCAATGAGAAGCAATGAAGCCTGCACCAAATAGAAGCCCCAAGACCATTCAAAGTAATGATTTTCCAATATGTTTACTGAGAGACACGTGTTGACATTCACAACTGCATAATAATTGAATATTTTTCAGTTATTGTATTATACGGACACATGGACTACAAGTCTCAGATATTTCTTGGAATTTACTAAAAGATTAAGAGGTTTGGTGACAGACCTGGGACTACATCAAACATGCCATGCAAATGTATACTCTATGCTAAGACCTGCAATTCAGCATGTAACAGCTGATGTATGTTAAGTGCTGACAGCATTAAATTATTCAGACACCATTGGCTTACTGCTCAGAAGAGAACTTCTGACCAAAGTGAACTTTACAGGTACAAATAATCATGTGCATTCCTTTTTGCTTCAGCTCTCCTTTCATGTTTCTCAGTTATTGCCACACAATCAGGTGTATCTCATTTCTTCCATTCTTAGACTCTTTTGTAAACTGGCTGTCAGTAGTAGAAATATACGTTTAAAACTTAAATTATCTTATTAGGATCATTATTATAATAAAATTATTAAAATTATTGTAATTTAAAAACTACAAGAACTACTGATTTTTCCTACTTGCACACAGCTTCATGTTACAACAACATGACCGATAAGGTTTTACAGTTATGCAAATTACAGACATTTATATGTAGATATTAACAGACAAGAAGAGATTTTTAAATACATGGAAAACCTGGGAACATCAACATCAGTATTCCAAACTATGACAATTGTAATTAACTGGACTGCAGACAGTCAGCTTTCTGTCATATTTTCAATCCCCACAACATGCTTATTCTAATATGCAAACCTCTTTGATATTCCAGCTCTGTCATTTACTATCTTCACTTCTTTTACTCTGCCATACCGAGCAAAAAACTTCCTCAGATCATTTTCATTAGTCTGGTACAGTAAATCAAGAGATGAGGAAAAGAAAAAAAACAATAAAAGAGTTGGTTTGCATAGTTACTCAATGAATATTCACCATGGATTTTAATGGATATACTTAGGATAAAAATTGCTACAAACTAATTATAACCCCAGAGTAGAAGAACGAGCATGTATAAGCCTCATTACAATAGAACAGCATTACTGATTACTTACTGTATTTTCACATTCAGCAATAATGCTAGAAAGCCACTTAAATATTAAAATTCCTCTTTGAGTGGATTTATGTAACAACTGCCCCTTTACAGGCAAGGGCACACTGAAGCAGATTTACTAGATCTGAATTTTAGTTTCTGTCAATTATGTACTAGAGCACTGTTCACAATACAAAACATCACTGCAATGTTTTCAAACTTCAGAACAGCAGAGTTTGTAAGCTTCCATAAAGGATTTGCATAGATCACATGTGAAAAGAACTCTTACTGAACCAGTGACTAAGTGGTCAAATCCATCTAATACATTAAAAAGAGGGATCATGGTGTATATCTAATAAGAGAGTCTGCAAATACGTATACCATAGGAACTCCCCATTACAAATTAAGTAAGAAAAGGTCATTTTAATGGAGAACGTTCTAAATCCATTTGGAGGAAGCTATTCCCTTCTGAGTATGCATGAAGGAAAACAAGTTCCTAACATAAAGACACATTTGAGCTACGTGAACACTTTTCTACCTTCTATGAATGTTTTCTTTTACCATGTAAGTATATATATCGAATATGGTGCCCTAAACACCACACATCTACATGATCCTTAGTTACTAACACCAGATCTAATGCTGGAAGAAGTATGCTTATTATATCGGGGCCTCAAGCAATTTCTATGATCGTCTATACTTTGTTATTTCAGGGAAGTGTCTTGGAAGTAATATTCCACCTCTAAATAAGTCTTGTTTTTAACTATGTATGCAATTCAGTAAATCCTGCACATCAAAGGCTGATCTGCACCACCTAAGTCTGAAAATAAATAAGAACAAAAACCAATTTAAACACTTTCAGAACTGGAAAGAATATAAAGTCAAAGCCCTATTTGAATAAATCTACACACAAGACTCAATTTTCAAAAAGAAATAATGCAGCTTGCTTGCTACAACCTCCCAGTCCAGCAGAGAGCAGTAATGGTAGATGACTGCTTCATCTCCTTCACTAATCCAAGTATTGAGGCATTAACACATCAGAAAATACCCAGTCATTCTGCCAGTGTGAGGAGTAACGACAGATACAAGTGCACTGGACAAGCATTAAATACTTCAGTGTTTTATGAAAGCTCAGTAACTGTGTCCTCTCCTTAGAAACTGCATGTACCAGTTCTTGAAAAACTATCCACCATGAACAGGTTAAAAAAATTCTGGCTGGAGTCCAGAACTACTCTTGATGATCATGCTTTGAACTTAAAAGAAGTGTGAAAGTCTGTGTAAATCGGAAAACAGATTAAACCAAACAACTGATAGCTTATATAAAACAAATCTACAGCATATGCTGACATGCTCTCACATTCTTAAGAAAAAGCATGTATTAAGTACAGATGACTTGTACTGGAGATGTTCCTTTCCCTCCAAATTTCCTCCAACACACACCAAAATGTAGCTGCTTAGAAATGACAGGCCTATAGATCAAATGCCCCATTATATCATCTCCTTTAAGCTCCATGTTACATGTAGCTCATCTGCTTCACAAAGAAGAGAAAAACAAACTGTCACAAAATATTTGAAGGCTAAAGTATGTGAATAAACAACTGAAAATCCCTTAAGTTTGGCCAGTCTGAAAGTGCCATTCAGTACCTCAAGGATGTGAAGCATGGCTACAAAAGGCTATAAACTTGGAAAGCCAAAATTTCATCTGTGGACTAGTGTATTAAAGGAGAGGAAGAAGAAAACACTGTTCAAGACTGGCATTGAAATCTGCAAGTATCTGGACAAACATGGTATCTAGAAGCTTGTCAGAAACACATGTGGGACTTGACTTTTCCTGCTCTTAACAAGACAAAGGCACTTGACAGATTCTTAAAAAAGGCTAATGCTAAGCTTTCATGTATGGGAATCCACCACTGAAGAAAGAGCTCTTCAGACCAAAATGAAAATGCACCCAACTGTAACTTCTCTTGCTGAATTACTTCCCTACAATTTAGTGGCCAGATGTCTTCCCTTCCAAATAGGAATCACTGCTACAGTGACAGGCCAAATGAAAGTGCCTAGCACAATGGTAGAACAGCTTGCTCAAAAGCAAATAATTTTTTGTTAATTAAGTACCTCCCTTTTTTAACAAAAACAAACAGCTTTACCACTATCAGCCTCCCTCCTCGTTGACTTAAGTAAGAACTTTGCAGGGAAAAAAACCCAAGAATGCTTTTTGCTCTAAGATTCCCAACAAAAACACAACCCAAGACTGACAAATTTCTGTTTAAATCAGAATATGCAAGACTCAACTTGATAACTCAACTTGATAACAAGAGCCATAGTAAATGGAAGAGTAGCTAAAAGGTCTACAGATATTTCAGCCATTCTAGTTCCTTCCTCAACAGATTCCACCTTCTTTAAGCATACAGATACAAACACACTTAATTCCTCTGTTGAAATTAAGACTCCTAATAGATTTTGACTTACCAAGTGACTGAACCCTTCAGTCACATGAAACCCTTCAAAATAAGCATGAGAATTAACAAGAATATGAACATATTACGCAGAAAAGTGTTTTAACGTTTGAGATTGCAGTGAAGAAACCTGAGACAGGTTTTACAGCTCTAGTAATCTGCTTACTATTAACGCAAAAAATCTACTGTGCCTCTTTGCTAAAGCTAAACTATACTGAAGAGCTTGTACAGCATCTCTTGAATTACAAACGTGTTCTTTAAATTTTCTCAGTCAAATGAGTCAGAAGACCATGGAATTTCTTTTATTTATCATGCAAAATACTCTGAGTGAACTGTCATTCTTTCTCCTGTTCATCTGAGTCAGTGCTAAAACCACCCTCAGCCTAGGAGGATTAAGGTAGAGAGAATTCTGTTGCTGGGAACAAAGAAATGGCTAAGCAGACAAAGAATGCTTTACAGAAGTCCATGACTTAACTCATTGTTTAAGGTGGAAAGAAGGAAAAAAAAGTAGCTGGTATAAAGGTCTGGTGTGTATCACACCACTACTGTTCAAATCAACTGACCAAGATAAGAATGGTTCAATATTCACTGCTATTTGACATTTTTAGGGCACGTGCAAATGCACAAGCATTCTAAGAATCAAGATCAATTCTGCGCTCCAGAAACAAATTTTAATATTAGTTTTAAAATAGACACTTGCTTTTAAGAAAATTACTATGGTAAGCAAGGAACACATATTGTAGCTTTCTTTGTATGAGCTAGAAGAAAAGTGCTAGAGGAACTCACACTGCTGAGGCTTGCCCTGTTCGCAATGTATAAGACTGTGTTTATGGTTCATTAAATTACACCATGTGTTATACATAATAAAAAAGATTCTACATACATTTTTACCATAAACTCTGCTGATTGGAAAAGCCATCTCCTTTGAAAAGAGAAAATTCTCAAAAACTAGTATGTGAAAAGTCTCCAGCAGCTAAATGTACAGCGAGTCAACTTTATAGTACAGTTATGTAAATAAAGGCTTAAAACTTTATTCTCTTACTGTTGATTTGAACATCATAGTGAAGGGCACTTACCACCTACACAAACACATGTGATTATGTCTCACATTTTTTTCCTGTTGATTTTTATGGGGTTATAAATTATCGTCTAGTAGTAAAATTAGGAAAAAAATACCTCAACATCAATTCCTCCTACAAAGATGCGATTTGGAATAACCGTTCCCGACCTTGGAGCACTGCTGAGATTATTTAATGGCACCGGTGACACAGTGTTGGGAGATGAAGATAAAGGTTCCGTTTGCATCTGATTTGTGGTCTGCTGATCAAAATAAAATATTTCCAAATATTTTAATATCTTATAAAATGTAACCTATTAAAAAAATTGTCAACAGAAAATGCATAGAGCCACAGCAAATGCTAAACAACTGAACATTAATCACATTTTTATTCAGAATGGATCTCAGCAAAGTATTTATACATAAGCTCAATTTTCAGCCATTAAATAACTTGGTGAATACACTATGGTCTCAAGTCTGACTGCTTTTTAACAACCTTCTAAATTAAACATTTGAGGCCTCATCCCCCAGTCTTAGTTTTTTGCTTTGCATAGCACCCTGCTGTATGAATCTTTACTCTCTGTAACTTTAAGTTATGAATTCTATTTCAGAGATTAATTTTAACTATTAGAAGTCCTTACTTTAAACCTACATGGAAGGGATCTTTTCAACTCAACCTACACACATCTACAGTGAACAGCTTCAGCTTGATTTTCCAAGTGCCAAGCACCCTTAATTCCACCACATAAAATCAACAAGCTCATTGCAACTGATGAGAACAGCACTTCAAGACTAATCTTTCAATTCAACACTCTCTTGGCCTACCTCCCGGGGCCCCCCGCTGTGGGGTGTCGCGGGCGGCGGCTCCATCAGGGAAGCCTTGTCGATGCAGCCAGGGGCAAGTGCTATATTCCAGGCTGTATATTCCCTGTGTCTCCACAGGAAAATTCTTTCAGCCTTGTGACACAGGGCCAGGGTGTGTTAGATATGTCCTCGTTTTGCTGAGATAGAATTACAGAATCAGTTTTTGACTCAACTTGATAACAAGAGCCATAGTAAATGGAAGAGTAGCTAAAAGGTCTACAGATATTTCAGCCATTCTAGTTCCTTCCTCAACAGATTCCACCTTCTTTAAGCATACAGATACAAACACACTTAATTCCTCTGTTGAAATTAAGACTCCTAATAGATTTTGACTTACCAAGTGACTGAACCCTTCAGTCACATGAAACCCTTCAAAATAAGCATGAGAATTAACAAGAATATGAACATATTACGCAGAAAAGTGTTTTAACGTTTGAGATTGCAGTGAAGAAACCTGAGACAGGTTTTACAGCTCTAGTAATCTGCTTACTATTAACGCAAAAAATCTACTGTGCCTCTTTGCTAAAGCTAAACTATACTGAAGAGCTTGTACAGCATCTCTTGAATTACAAACGTGTTCTTTAAATTTTCTCAGTCAAATGAGTCAGAAGACCATGGAATTTCTTTTATTTATCATGCAAAATACTCTGAGTGAACTGTCATTCTTTCTCCTGTTCATCTGAGTCAGTGCTAAAACCACCCTCAGCCTAGGAGGATTAAGGTAGAGAGAATTCTGTTGCTGGGAACAAAGAAATGGCTAAGCAGACAAAGAATGCTTTACAGAAGTCCATGACTTAACTCATTGTTTAAGGTGGAAAGAAGGAAAAAAAAGTAGCTGGTATAAAGGTCTGGTGTGTATCACACCACTACTGTTCAAATCAACTGACCAAGATAAGAATGGTTCAATATTCACTGCTATTTGACATTTTTAGGGCACGTGCAAATGCACAAGCATTCTAAGAATCAAGATCAATTCTGCGCTCCAGAAACAAATTTTAATATTAGTTTTAAAATAGACACTTGCTTTTAAGAAAATTACTATGGTAAGCAAGGAACACATATTGTAGCTTTCTTTGTATGAGCTAGAAGAAAAGTGCTAGAGGAACTCACACTGCTGAGGCTTGCCCTGTTCGCAATGTATAAGACTGTGTTTATGGTTCATTAAATTACACCATGTGTTATACATAATAAAAAAGATTCTACATACATTTTTACCATAAACTCTGCTGATTGGAAAAGCCATCTCCTTTGAAAAGAGAAAATTCTCAAAAACTAGTATGTGAAAAGTCTCCAGCAGCTAAATGTACAGCGAGTCAACTTTATAGTACAGTTATGTAAATAAAGGCTTAAAACTTTATTCTCTTACTGTTGATTTGAACATCATAGTGAAGGGCACTTACCACCTACACAAACACATGTGATTATGTCTCACATTTTTTTCCTGTTGATTTTTATGGGGTTATAAATTATCGTCTAGTAGTAAAATTAGGAAAAAAATACCTCAACATCAATTCCTCCTACAAAGATGCGATTTGGAATAACCGTTCCCGACCTTGGAGCACTGCTGAGATTATTTAATGGCACCGGTGACACAGTGTTGGGAGATGAAGATAAAGGTTCCGTTTGCATCTGATTTGTGGTCTGCTGATCAAAATAAAATATTTCCAAATATTTTAATATCTTATAAAATGTAACCTATTAAAAAAATTGTCAACAGAAAATGCATAGAGCCACAGCAAATGCTAAACAACTGAACATTAATCACATTTTTATTCAGAATGGATCTCAGCAAAGTATTTATACATAAGCTCAATTTTCAGCCATTAAATAACTTGGTGAATACACTATGGTCTCAAGTCTGACTGCTTTTTAACAACCTTCTAAATTAAACATTTGAGGCCTCATCCCCCAGTCTTAGTTTTTTGCTTTGCATAGCACCCTGCTGTATGAATCTTTACTCTCTGTAACTTTAAGTTATGAATTCTATTTCAGAGATTAATTTTAACTATTAGAAGTCCTTACTTTAAACCTACATGGAAGGGATCTTTTCAACTCAACCTACACACATCTACAGTGAACAGCTTCAGCTTGATTTTCCAAGTGCCAAGCACCCTTAATTCCACCACATAAAATCAACAAGCTCATTGCAACTGATGAGAACAGCACTTCAAGACTAATCTTTCAATTCAACACTCTCTTGGCCTACAAACACAGTGCACCATGATCCAAACAGTAATTCTCTCTACAAAAGAAAAAACAGATTGCTCTTGCTCCAGTCAAGAAGAGGAATGCAGTACAGGGGGAACTTCATGGAAACCATTACTTAGTGAAGTCTGCCTGATGTTTTAACTTCCACCATGCTTGCATACCACCTTACATCCTGTCCTGGTTTCACCGAGATACAATTATAAAATCGATTTTCTGTTCAGGGGAGATGCAATGTTTGAGGACACCGCAGCACCCGATTCCGTGAGAACAACGTTGGTAAGACACTGAGTTGGTGGGCAGCCGTGGCAAGTGGTGTCTGTAGGGATGAAGGTCTTCACCAGTTCTGAGCTAGGCAGGGGCTGGGCACAGGAGGAGCAAAGCCCACAGCAGCTGACCCAAGCTGGCCAACACAACCATGCCATACCGCAAGCTACAAACTGGGGTGGGGCTCAGTGGCTGCCATCCCTGGGGGGTTCACCCGTCGTTCTGCCCCCTAGGCCTGCGCTCCCGCTCGCTGTGCCCGTCGCGCTCCGGCTGGAGCTGCTGGCAGGGTTGGACACCTGGCACCCGCTGCTGGGAGCGCACGGCTCGGGACCTGCACGGGCCGAGCATAACTGGGTATTGCATATCAGTATGGGGATTAATCCTAGTTGGTACTGCTTTGCTAAGTGCTCTTATTTCAGCTCACGGGTGTCTTCTTTACCTGATTCTCCTTCTTGGGTGGGCCGGCACCATCAGGTGATAGAACACCTGCCTAAACATAAGACACCTAGTCCCAACCTAACCTATTCAAGAGAAAATATGCATTCTTCCTACTGGGAATTCTATCATAGAGAAGTGCCTAACCTTAAAAAAAAATCCAAAACAAACCCACAAACCTAACACTTGCAGGCCAAGAACAATCATAACCCCTGCAGCTCCAAAGGCTTTAGAAGGAGGATAGTCTTCTGCTGATAACAACTTCTGAAGGACAATGGAACAGGTTATTTTCTTCAACTCTCACACCAAATACAATATCCTACTTGTATGATCACCTGAGAACTGTGCATAGCACTAAACCACCAGAATCTAACTATAAATTAACAATCAATAGGTGACACCACAGCCAAAACATATTCCTTACCTCAAAGAACTCAAATTTCATTTTATCCACGCAATTTTTAAGGCTTATTCAGAAAGACAAAACCACAACAGCAAAACCCCAAATGAGGAATTAAACACATTTGTGACTTCCCAGTACAGTAAACACGAACGAATTTTAAAACAGTAAGACCTGTACTGATAGCCATCTCAACATCACTTCCTCCCTCCCAGAGTAGCAGCAAGAAAATTAATGTGCTAACAGACTGTTAATTGCATAACCTGTTTCTGCAGGTCTTCAAATTCACTTCTTTCCCCCAGACAGTGTGGATATGTATGGGTTATTTAGTGTTTGACAACTGCTCTTTACCAGGATTGACCATTTTTCATGTTGATGTTGAGTACAGTCCAAGAATAAAGGCCTGGTGGTTAATCCCACCTCAATCCCCAGGCAGCCTCTTCCTGGCAGCCCAGAACCTCCGGCAGCAGCGCCCAAACCCCCTGCCCAGCCCCCGCTCCCGCCGCACGCCGAGGCCACGGGAGGGCTCTGCCCGCACTTG